TCAGAAAATCAAACAAAAAACTTACTAGCTGTGGTTCTTGCCAGAACATTGGTAAAAATCCATACTGACAGTAAATACAAAACTTTAAAGTATTCGATTTACCATTCCTTTACAAAATCATTTTCTGTTTTAATGCCTCAGAACAACCACAAACAAACTCAAAATGTGCTGTATCACTCTCTTAAAACACTGGTTTTATTATCATTAGACCAAAACACATATATTCCTACAAACATGTGTTATCAAGGAATGTGTTATTAATTTCAAGAGCTTTCCCCCACAGTCTGATAGTCTGGTAGGAGTGTTAAGAGAGGGAACTGTTCTTTGTATCATCTGTCTGGATGAAAAAAAGAATACTTTGGAATAGCTCTTTTACCCCTCAGAGCCTGAAATACAGTACACTTCAGAAAGGGCAGTGTTGGCCAGCCTGCCTGACATTATGTTTATACTAAGTCAGGACTAAAATTACAGTGTTCACATCTGCCATTCTTTGAGTACAAATTGGCAAAATAATTAATTTCTAAAGGTTTTTTCAGAAACTAATACTATGATATTTTCAGGATAACAAGAAAATACTTTCCAAGAGCAGTTAAGGATATCACAATGTGAAACAACAAATTTAAAAGTCTGTAGGTATGTATCCATATATCTGTATTTCCTTTAGCTCACAAGACTCATACTTGCACACAAATTCCTACCAACATCATACAGTGCACAATTAAAATATGCTAATCATTCTCCTAGATAGCTTTCATGATTTGTTTCACCACAGTCAAGAGGCTGTAGGGTTCAGACCGGTATACTGCTGACACTCTTATTGAGCAAGCAGGAAGAATTAACAGAGAAATGACTGGCTTCAGTAACTTCAATTGCACTCAACATTATTTCAGTTTCTAAAAAAGACAAATATGAAATCTGATTTACTCTCAGCAGTAAGAAAAAAGTTTTAAGCTGATGTATTTTTAGAAAGGATTGTAGTTTTAAGGAACTCCTGAACGATTTTTTACAGACAGATTCCCTGTGTTAGCAAGATTTTATGTGCCTTCGGTACCTATTCAACAAGCAAAAAGAGGAAACTGAGCTTTTCCTGCAATCTGACATTTTCTCTATTTACTAACACAAGCTCCGAGGGATGAATTTTACAAAAAGCTTCAGCTTAGCATGTTGTAGCCCTGCAGCAGAAAAATATGTGAGGTTTTTTCCCTATGACACAAAAGGAACTTTTGGGAACATTTCCGAAGGATCCCAGAAAGCTTGTCTAACATACAATGGTTCCTACCCTGCACAGCCCTCCAAACAAAGAGTAACAGATGCACAACTGGTATTAATAACAAAACATCTCCTCCCTCTGTTAGGCAAGAGAGGACAGCTAAGGACAGACACAGTTCCAGGGTACTCACCTACTCGGAAGTTCGTGGCTGTCAGTGTGTCAGCAGCGTGGCCGTTTTCACTGATGAGGGTGGTGGTATTTCCCTTCTCACAGTTGTTCTGACAGTTGCCTTTGGTACAAGTCACTTTACAGATGCTGGGTGTAAAGACCACCTTGATGCGACCAGTGTGATTTCCCACTGTCAGTGGAGGCAAAGAAAAAAAGAAAAATAAACAGATCACTTTGGTATCCATTGATTTCCTTTAAAAGTTTGGGGGAAAAAAAAGGCGGGGGGGAGAAAAAGGCGACAGGTCTACAGGAGGAGGGCAGTCTGCAGTGCTCTCGCTCATAGATCTCCAGTGGTGTCTCTGAAACAGGAGTAGGAAGCTTAGCAAACAGAGCTCCGGGATCCGCTCCAAAACCACATTTAAAGTCAAGTCACTGGAGTGGGATTAGTAATCACAATGCTGCACTTTATTCACATGCAGACAAAGACCAATACCAAGGGCATGACAGCTTAAATAGCCAGCCCTGACGGGCAGATGTCACGTCAAGAGGCTGGCTGTGCACCTAGGGGTGAATAAGCTCCCGTGTCCTCCTGCATACTTTTCCTGTTGCTGCACTTAAGTCACTATTTGTAGCTCGACCCCTGGAAATGTTTTAGGCATGCGGCATGTCTGAAAACATCTGTCTCAAATCTCCTGGCACCCCAGCCCGAATTGGTCAAACCTTGTGACGCAGCTGCCTGGACCCATTTTTTCACAGTTTTTTGGCACTATTTTTCCACGAGGATTTACATATTATAGACTGAGCTCTGCTGTCAGCCTTTGTTTAAGTAATAAATAGCTCAGAGAAAAGAGTAAGTATCAATGCTTGAAAACACTGGTTCTGAGCTCAAAGATAAAAAATGGCTAGATTCTCTTTTTTTATATTCTTGCACATTTTAAAATCTTGAACATAATGAAGACTGAGCAAACACTAATTTTAAGGTAAGCTAATTAAAAGAACTTGTTCTAGAATGATTTAAAAACAGATGTATCTGACTCCACATCTAACAGCTGAAGACAGAAAAAAAAGAGGTTAAAACTACTCATTAGGAAAATTAGGGGAAAAGAACAGATTCCATTTGCAATTATTTAAAAAGAAAAGTTTGTCCTCTGCACACTTACTAATAAATTCAGCAAGTTCTTGTAAATGTATCACAGCAGCAGTGTGGAAACTATTAATAAATACTTCCATATCAGACCTAACAATCCCAAGAAATGATGCACAGAAAGAGAAGAATCTCTTTCCTCATGTCATAGAAATAAAAAAGTTGTTGGGTAGCTGTGTAACCTAATTTCTGAAATACCCTCTGGATAAACATTTTTTTGAAAATCTCAGGAAAATGAAGAAAATCTTCCCACTTCAAAAGAATATAAAGCCTTCTTATTTCTGGCTCTTCATAAACAAATAAATTAAAACAATTGTGCCAACTGTTTTGTCTGCAGTAAAGGCATTGCTCTACTTGAGCAGCAGCTGTAGTACAGATGCTCCCACCTTATTCTCCCTAAACAACAGTTAGAAAAAGCACGGCCCAGACAGACATGGGAGTAAAATATTTCAATTACAGGCTAGTGCTGCAATTTCAGTCAATTTGGAAGACACCCTGGATTCTTGGGTGCCAAGCATTCCTTACAAAAATTAATAGACCTTTCCCAATGAACTGCCCTAAGTGGCTTGTGAAGCGCTGAGGCTAGAACTTCTAGGCTTTCCTGTTGGTAAGCACACCTTCATAAGCAATGCTGCCATCTTTGTGGTTTATTTGCAAGTTTTATATATATACACACGTATCTTCTCCTAGAAAAGCCCAATCCATTTTACATTTTATATTTTCATGTGTTTTAGTAACTTTTTTCCTTTAGGATGTGATCTAATTAAAAAAACATGGTTAGTTGAGTCACAAAAGTCAGTCCTGCCTACCCTGTAAAACCCAATATTGGGGGACCCACACAAGTTTTCCAGCCTAGCTGAAAAAAAAAAAAACCCACACACTTTGGCTCTGCCAGTGTAGATGGAACTGAACCATGATTTAATCCTCCTTCATAGTGTTCTGTACTATGTTGTTGAGTGCTGAACTGTAGCAAAATTTGGGCACAATGTTTATAACAAAAAAAAAGTGTCATATTTTAAAAGTGATTTTATCACATAGTTCAGATTATATCAGAAAAAAAATCTGTAGCATAATGTTTTTGGTAGAAGAGACACCTTAGTATGAGACTGAATGGAAGTTGTTAATGTGCTTCTTGCCCCTTTTGGGTGAGAAAATGTTAGCATATAAGTTTGGGAGTAACAGCACAGGAACAACAGTTTAACCGTACCTTCAAAAACACACACATCATCGACAGAGATAAAGAGTATCCAAGAAAGAATATTTAAATGCAGCTTTTCAGCGAAGTAAGAAGTCTGAAAGAACATGATATAAGCACTAGCCCCTACAAATACTCAAATCATTGTTCAGCGATGCTTTTGCTATAAAACAAATTAAATTCTCACAGATATTCCCGTTTTACTAGTTGCAAAGAGCCAGAAATAAGACAGCTTCATATTCTTTTGACATAAGATGATCTTCATCTTTCTCAGATTTATGAAAACTATAATGAAACTATTGTTTTCTTCTCCTTGCCTAGCAGGCCACAGCTTTTAACTTCCTCGACTCTTCTGGAGACATTTAGGAAGGATACAAAGCTAATGATGGCCTTTGAGCCGAAAAGTGACCAGTGTATGAGGGGATGATTCAAGGCAGAGACGTTATCTTTGTCCTTCTCTGGAGCTGTAACTAAGTAGACAGAACTATCCTCATACATCCTAAGGTTTAGGGACCTTAGCAGCGAGCATACGACATGCAGATTTAAATTGAAAACAGACCACAAACCCTACTGCTGAAAGGAAGCTTTTGGCAGAAATGCTGCAAGGTTAGACTCTTGGACTTCCTTGAAACCTCTCCCTTTCTTCTCTTCTGTAGTTTGTTTTTTTACCTCTTCTCCAAAGAGGGGATGATTTAATTCTAAATGAGAAACTAGATCCTTCAACATCTCTTAGCTAGTTTGGCAGTATTCACGTTAAAAGCCACAATTTCAAGCTAGAAAAGGCCTATTTCGCCCATTACTGTTATAACCTTGACCTCTTTTGGTTTTGGGCTAGTTCACATTAAAGAAGGACAGCACAGTTTTAGGGTAGCATACAGATTATTTTCCTCTTTAAACTCCAAAAGCTTTACTGATGATGCCACCGTGACATGGACTTGACAAGATCCACAACTTAGATTATCTGAAACTCATTTCTGAAAAAAATGATGGTGCTACAGCAGTGCAACATACCTAGAATATTTTAATTTTTTTTTTACATATATACAGAGAGAGACATGGACAGAAATGTATCATAAACTCTTCAAAACCCATTTTAAACATGTGGAAATGAAACACCTCACTCTTAAGTTTAACACCAGACTGAAGAAATGCAAAAGTGAGACCAGATAAATAGATGTGCCTAATAAAAGGCAACAAAAGCAGAAGATACAAACACAAAATAAATTGCAAAGCTACTGAAAAAAAGGCAGACCTAGAGATAAACTCGGACTGCTGTTTTCATAAAGACAGGACAATCAGGATTGCTACCACTGGCTAAAGCTTCATCCCCGAACTAAGCAGCAAATTCACGCGGAAGCTCAGCCAACTGCACCACCATCCTGCCTTGTAGTCAAGGCTCACTTACACCTTAGATACATTTGTCAAAGGAGATCAGTGAAGAACGTGCCAGTAATTTCCAAAATCTGTGAAACTCTCTTGAGCCAGATTCAAGAAAGAAAGATGCCTAAGTGAAGTGATGAGATTTTAGCTGAAAACTGGCACTGCATGTATGCCATTTTCTTTCCAGCTCTGTAAGTCACTACAATATTATGAACACAGCAAGCTCCTGCTGGGATAAATTTATGATTTAGCCACAACTGCAGGAGAAATGGAAAATATAAGCAAAAGGATTTTTTCATAGAATTCCTTCTGCCTCCACTGTCCATTATGATAAACTGATTATGTTTCTCCTGCATTAGCAGAAAAGGTAAATGAGTTAAGGCAGGCGGCAGGTTTTAGGTCACAACAGCTCACGCAGCCATGCCTGGGCAGAATTGTATAAGGGGATGGATTCCTCCTCAATCTCCTGGGTCCCTTTGTAAGGCTACTCTGCCTTCATTTCTTTCTAGAAGAATTTCTATAAACACATTTTTTTCTTGGTTTTATGGCTAGCCTCACAGCTCCACCATTCTGCAAAGATTTAACTAGACAGTATTGAATAGTTGTAGTGGATCTCAGAAGATTTGTGGCATGTCCCTGTTTTGCAGGAAGACAATGGGCTAGCAACACTAGTGAAAGCAGACTGGTATTCAGTTAAAAAGATGATTATACTTGTACTGTCTCATAGGTCAAGCAGGGCAAAGAGAAGAAAATATTTCAGTGTGCTGAAAAAATTATTACGTTATTGTGTGTATGATGTTTTTGTGCTTCACAGTGATCTAATCAAAAGCATTCACAGTGAAAATCACAAGCAGTGGCTTATAGTGTGGACTTGGCTGGTAGAGCTTACACATACCTCTCCCATAATCCTTGCACAAAACTTCTTTCTGACTCTACTTTTAGAGAGGTTTGTGTTTAGAGGGGTTTGTGTTCGGGGTTTTTGTTTTTTTTTTTTAATAGCTTTACTTATGACAAATATCCTGAGGCAAATCTCCTGAGGAAACAGAAGTAAGCAAACTGTAAGCTTTCCATTAGTACCTCCAAGAACGATACACACTACTCTGTTTTCACGACACCCTACTTCTGCACTGAACCCAGTATATTTTCATATGTGTATCTACACAGAACCTCATCAGACCTGAAGATTTTATCTTAAAATTACATTCTCTTCCCAAAGACAATAGATTATCTCAGGCAATTTCATGTTTTCAAACGATAACCATGATGCATGAGGAGAATGTTGGAATGAAAAATCTATCTTCTCAAGTCAAAGCTGATAAGCTTTTAAACAGCAAATAAGATTTGACATTTTAAATTCTCAAATGACCAACCCCCTCTCTTTTTTCTTAATTAAATACTGACAGAAAAAAGCAGAAGGAAATGACTTATTTCCTAAAACAGGTGTCTCCCAGTTATTTCATCAGTCCACCTGTTAGTCTGTACTACTAGATACACTTGCTCAGCCAACAGGAAAGCTGACATTGTAT